AAACATCCGGTGGTCGCAATACACAAAACGCACGATGTGAGGTGAATTGCAATTGATAAACTGGTTCTGATTGACAACAGGAGACACTGTGACCCATAGGACCGGTTGAAGGGTGCTAAACGTCTCAAAGTATATGAGAGTATTTGCATTCAGTATTTGGAATAACTTTTGTGAACTATGTGCGTCACAGTGGATGTGGTGCACACCGCTGATCCAAAATGTTTCGGAGTACCGGCGACTCGGGCGGACGATTCAGTTGTCCATTTGTTTGTCGAGCTTGGCAATTCGGATGCAGACGTTTCGTCACCAATCGAGGTGATATCATCAGTGCAGCGTTGTCTGCAGCCTGGTCGCGAAAAATCGTACCAGTCAAATCGAGGAACGGTCCATTTCTGGATTTTTCACGACCAAGCTACATTCAACTTTGCACTGATGATGTCAGCTCGATTGGTGACGAAGCGTCTGGCCAAGGTCGGCGAACAAATGGACAACTGAATCAGTGAACCCACAGAAGCTAATCCGATATTATTGTCTGCACTGTGACCTACTGTCGTAGAACGACTTGCAGGCTTCGGACTTCACGATCTAGAAGAAAACTGACTTTTGCACTGTGTCTACACGCAAAACGTTGTGGTGGTCTTTCATCCGAAGTTAGTTCTGCAGCGGTTGTACAGCTTCACCGTATTTTATGCTGGCTTTCATGATCTACTGTACAGTTTGTTTTAATGGTTCCCACCCGATATGCACACTTGTAAAGTCCTAACTGCTCTTCTGGTTTCTGTCGGTTCGGGATTCAACGATTGCCGTTCGTTAGTTCCCTACGACTTCGATCGTCCATTCTACCTAACGGAATTACAGTAGTAGACGGAGTTATGTCATTGACATAGGATTGCGCAGCCAGGTTTGGAAATGTCCACAAATCAGAACAATTTCTTCTTAGGCTGCGAGTTCTTTAGCAGTTATATTAGTTTTCGTTGGTTTTCCAATACAGGTCTCCGGTTCGTTTTGGAAAAATGCAGTTGAGAACTGTGGAGTTTGCCGATAGGTTAATCTCCACATTTAATTAGTCTTACTAATTCTTGAAATTCCTGCTAAACTAGTCTACCAAGTGTCTAAACTATGTCAATGCATCCGGAATCCGAATCAGAAGGGAATTCAGTAAACCTAGCTCACTACGTCAACAGGGTTCGTAAGGGAATTCGGAAGTACGCTTTGCAGTTGAGGGCATGCATTATACACCGTCGCTGCACCAAGTCGTACGAAATCGTGAGGTGGCCAGTCCATGACGTAGCATAGTGACATGAAGAAACGGACTGAGAGACTTGGTCAGACTAGTGCGTGTCGTCTTCGTGGATGGTGTCCTCGGGATGGTCCACACCAATGGTTAGAAATCCAATCAAACATATTGCAGCCAAGCAGTTAGTGGCACTCCTGCACTCAGTTTCTTGTACGTTGCTGTTAATTTTCATTCCAACCCGATCGCTTTTGAATGCTTCTTCCATGCCGCTGTTGTCTATTGTTTGCTGCCCTGTTTAGGTACAAGGGCATTCCGTTAGGACAGTGTCGACGGATTGACAATGTAAAGACGAGCATCCCACTTGGTCGAACCTCGACGGATATCACGAAAATAAAAAATAAGTAATCGTCAGCTTCATGCCGTAACGGCGTTTCGCTGCCGTGGGACGACCACCAGTCGCATGCGGGCTAAGTATACCGAGAGGACGCCCACCCCTATGCGGATCCGAATCCACGCCGCAAGATTACGAGACAAGCTCGATACCAATAGGCTACGGACCGACATCGAGAAAATACTAAGGGACTTTGTCATTTGCACTTTGTCGATAACAAATGTTCCGAAAATGTGCGTTCTTGTGATACCGTTCACTTATTGCAGATTCACTGAAACGCAGATCCACATGGTGCACTCAATGGAGATTCGCACTGAAAATATACACGGGACACGGCAATGTCCAAATTTGAATAGCGCCTCGTCCTGAGAATTGCAAACAAGCGTATTCCTGAGCATGTCAAATCTACTGAGGAAACAATCTAATCTGAGCTTTGGCGAGATTTCTCAACACCATTTAGAAACGGACATCATAAGAGGTTGATCATAGGGCGGTACACGGACGCCAAAAACCGAGGCTCATAGGAAATGGGTAATAGTTGTCGACCGAAATTGGTAGAAGGTTCGGATATCGTTCTTATCAACCTAAAATGATGCACTCTACTCGATCGAACTCGTGTTACGGTACTAATGTAGGAGAAAGATACAGAAATCAACTTACTATATCGTGCGTTCGCCTATTTGATCTAATATGAAGTTGCGATTACGTCGCCCGAGCTGAACGAAGGGCGTCTACGCATATCGCGTACAACAAGATCTCAAACTACTACATGTTGCCCATTAATGCGAAAGCTTGATAAACTTTTACGATTGATCCACGCACCAGAATCGGCATTGATCATTCAAGATAAGTCAGTCAGGTGAAACTTCGGGGACTAAGGCGGTGGAAACCCACTTTTGTGGGCACAAACACAAACGGGGTATGGCCAGACTAGGTTTCCGCTTATGGAATTCGCAGTGCATTCTCATCTGGTATCTCGATGCTTTTTCCGCCGTAGGACCGTGGGTGTTCCTATATGAGGGAAGCACAGCGCCAGAACATCCTAACCTAGATAGTTATAGAGGTTTCGGGAAAAGCAACTGAACAAACAGACTTTCTGTATTCAACCTCACGGAACAGACGGAAACGACTGAAGAGAACATGAGATTTGATCGAATTCAGACTGACCTACAGAAAAGAATAGCCTGAGGGAATCCGTATCGATTGCTGTAATAACTGCCTCCATTCGATCTGACTTATGTGAGCTAAAAACCAGCGTAGCCCTCCTATACCATTTCTCAGTCCAGTGCATACATACTACGAGCAAATTCCTCGGCGAGGAAGTCATGTTCTTCGGATTGTCAACCAAATGATACATAGCAGGAGTAAGCGCTCGCAGGTGCGTTTGATGTGAGTTAATTAACATACGAACTACCTCGGATGAACTAAGGGGGGGGAATATAAGTTCTTTATGAAGCAAGTTGATTGCAGAATGGATTTGCAGGTAACCGCCTAGCCCACATCACTGACGTTGGCGCGTAATTTGAATCATTTGCGGAACGAAGCAGACGCCAATAAGGTGACCGGGCTTAAGACTTGCATGTGTGCATTTGGTCTTGCAGAGCAGCGCTTCCAAACATGGTCACGTGTGTGTGATTAGGCGCGTGGTCGGAGATGGCATAATGTGACCAGCATGTATTATCCACCAGACACCTTAGGTATGCGAGCTCGAGAAGCTGAGGGTGTATGTGAGTGACCGAATCCGCGAGTCCGCGAAAACAGAAAACTGCGTGACACAAGAAGACGTATTGACAGCTTGTGTGGCAATCAGCCCTAGACAAACCATTCTTGAGTCTGCACAGCTCGTCTTGGACATGCCGACTAGTAATCAAGAGATCTGTTTATCGAAAACGAACATAGTCTGTGCAGTACCTACATCTTGACAACTTCATTCCAATGCCATACAAGCTGACGCTAGTCAGCACTTTATACATCTGCAGGAGAAGAATACGCGGCGGCCCCGATTTCCTGAAAGAGAACGCTGTTGACTAACACACAGCAAGACGAACTGTTGTTGCTGTTGTTTCCCTCTTCACAGCCATCTGAATCGGTTGTATCCTGTTGCTGTAGCCGAGACGTTTCTCTCATATGACTAACATCCAACATGGCGAATGCTGACAGTTTTTACTCGCGAGGTACTGCCCCACGTGATTTTTTAGTGGTACTTCGCTTGGTTTGATCTTAATTCCAGCGAATTCGAAACCGCTGTTTCCTCTTCCTCGATTTTTCGGAATCTTGACATCTTTGAGCATAACGACACTTTCTCTTCCGACGCTTCATGTGCGAGCCTTTTCGCGTTTTGTGAACCCGTCAATTCCCAGGTAACTTGATGAGCAAACCGGTTCAGTGCTACCCACTCTGGTGCTGGTGATCCTTAGTTGCTCATTATTGTGTTCCCTCCGTTTCGAATTCGGAGTGGCGTGCCATTGTGCAATTGGCCAGTTTTAGACTGGCACATCCTGTTTTCATTTTATCACGGATAGTTTGGGTTTTGCGCTTTCCACCGTGGTGTTGATTTGTTCCCCTACTCATCTGCATTAGAAATGAGTTATGACCTTGTACGATGCGACTACGAGGTGTGGCACACGCATCCACCGCTAAGGATACTGCGCGAGGGTAGCCCTGCCCCACGCCCCTAAGCAGGCTGGAACCCACGTCGTCAGATTACAACACATGCTTGTTGCCTCTAAGCTACGAGCCAATAACTGCTCTGTGTGTGGTGAACTGTTGAGTCAGTACGCTTCAACTCCGCCTTCATTTATCAACATTATTGGAATAGATAGTCCTTCGGTTTCCCCTCTTACTCCCCTACCAATATCTGCCCCTCAAATTTGTCTAGAATTTAATTTTATGGGATTGATGCGTCATTCGGCAAGGGCTCGTCACTACTGACTTTAGCGCATACCTCGTGATTTGGTTGCTTCTCTTCGATTCTTAGTGACTGGGCTGTTCGAGTTGCTTTAACGGTACTTGTACCCCAGTGAATGACAGTAGCTATCGTTTTTTTCAACCGATCAGTTTCTGGCCCTCCCACTTTCGAAGGAGTGTTTTCATCAAACACGATTTGGTATCTTGAGGTGCCAGCCAGATAGCTTGTTTATGCATTCCCGGACCTTATCACTCCAGAATAATTTAGAGTCATGTTTCCACACTTGAAATTCCTCTTTTCATCCCATCATAAGCTGCAGCTACAATGATTCAGCATCAGGCAGGCCCATCAGCGTCGTTCTATTTGAGGCACATTTTTCCCGACTATCTTCCATCTGTATCCAAATTACTCTAGTTTTCGCATTGCGTTCTCTCTTTTTGCATCCCCTCTTTGTACCGCCCTAGATTGCGATCCACGGTCAGAGCTTTTGTTCCGGTGCCCAGTCCGCCTTCCATCTACTACTGAAGAACATAGTAAGGTGAGTAATATTGTGTCGCTCGTCAGGCACCTTGATTTTCTATCTGGTCTATAAACTTTATTTTCCTTGCGAAATTGCGAGTCCCTCTGGGCTCATCGAAGTCTCCCCAGTACCCCGGCTGCAGTAGTCCGTATCATTCGCCTCTTTGTTTGTGTACTGCGGTATTCCCTATCTTTGTCATTTCACAATTCCTGTTCGCATGGGCGCTTCCCAAAGATATGCACTGGCTAGTTTTCCATTTCCTTCATTCTCTTTGCAGGGTTATCATTGTGAATGGGGTAACCAGCTTCCTGCTGTTCATCGGCAAAATGTCTGTGGTCATTATCAGTGGTAAGCAATCAGGACTGTGTTGTCCATTCTTTCCCTGATAGTCTAGTTTGTGTTTACGAATTGAGGCTCATCGTGTCGCACTACCGCACTTAAGTCCGATGTGAAACCCAGTGTGACCGTCGTCCATAGCAGTGCTGTACTCGTCATATACCGTAACGCAGCCTCACCAACGACTCCAAGTAGACACACAACCGTACACTCACAAACAGCTGAACGTTGACGGAACGGATTCTTCGCAGATTTCATCACACCGTTATAACCATCATTCACTTAAAAAGGCTTATTGGTAACGGCTTGAAGCCATCTCCTGTTATGTCTCGAGTCACGCATAAGGTATAGAGGCCTGAAATGCATTTGCGACATCTCTGGAGTCAAGGAGGGATTTCGCTCAGTCTGAAATCCTGTGCGTACAAGGCCACAGTGAGGGACGTCATACTCGATAGGAGTAGGGCTTGATCATTTCGATCAGACGACCTGGAACGTCCTCCAGTTTTGGACCATCGTTGCCCCCGCAGTATTGCTAGTGTCGGACGGCACTAGCGTGTTCCCAATGATGATGTGCGTAGGCGAGTACTAGGCCGAGATAGTCTGGTTAGTTCTTTAGAGCAATAAATGATGTTGGATAAATTGCTTTGGCTTTGACACAGCTACGTATGTTCGGTCCATCGCAATGAGGCTGGAACTTACCGTGGTGCGTTGGTTTGTGTGCCTCAGTGATCCATTGAGCTATACTGGGTGGTGCATTTTTTGTACCTTCAGAGCCACTCATACCAGATTGGTCAATGGTTAGAGGCCAGACAAACTCAGCCTCCTGGTCCTCCAGGTTGGGGGTTGGAATGAGAGGGGCTCCTTATTCCTTAAAATGGACTCCTTGTAGCACAATGCCAAAACCGATGTCTTGCTGTCAGGTTTTTGAACCAAAGGCTTTGGTTGAGAACCATAAGCGTTCTCCTGTCTAGGCCTGGGCAACCTGACAGTATCCTGCCCACGCAATACAATGAATCACACTTCAAACAAATTTCTGATGCTCTGGCCACCGCAGAGGATAATCAACGGTGCCCTATCTGCTGCATCGGGCAGGGTAGATAGGGGTTTGGATGCTACTGCTCAAGCCTTCCCGTCTTCTTATTCCCTCTCTTGCGCTTTTTCACCCTTATCGTCCCGTTCCAGCTTCACTTTTATCCCCCCAGTTTTCAACCCCCCAATTCTCGGCCCTCCCCCACCTTGCTTCAATAGTCGCTTGCCTTTTAGTTTCAACTCACAGGTGATCGCGGAACGTCATTCCTGCACTGTCAACAGGCCCATGTCCAAGCAAGCGGCTCATTCCAGTTCATCGGTTTCCATTTGGACCCCTCGATCCTCCTTCAGATTGGCATGCCTCAATGTTCGTTCATTGCTTCAGATCGGCCAACAGGCAGCACTTGTCCGAACATTAGAGACCCTATCGATCGATATCTGCTGCTTGTCTGAGACCCGCCTCCAAGACTCGAGCTCTGTACTCACTCTACGATCCCCTTCAGGTGACACTAGCAGCACTTTCTCGTTGCGCCTATCCGGTGACAATGCAGCCTCGAGCACCGGCCAAGCCTGTGTTGGTATTGCTCTGAGTCCCCGGTCTGAAGCTACTCTGGTTGATTGAATTCCAGTCAGTAGTCGGATGTGTGCGGTCCGATTGGCTGGCTCCTTCAAAGCTTCGAAGTCACGTGGGACTAACTGGTGTCTATTCGTTATCGCTGCCTATGCACCGACAAACTGTAGCGATGACTCGGTAAAAGACGACTTCTATCGCCAACTGAACGAGCTCCTTCGCCACAGAAGAAGCTCGGACACTGTAGTGCTGGCTGGGGATCTGAACGCTCAAGTTGGGAAATTATCCGCAGATGAGCTGCATCTGGGCGGCCAACATGTTATAGGCTCCCGTAATGATAACGGTGAGCGGTTACTTCATTTGTTTGAGGATGCTCGCTTATTTCTTGCGAGCACTAATTTCCGACACAGCACCCGCCGGAGGGTGACTTGGCACCCACCAGCCTCGAACCAGCTATGGACGCAAACCGATCACATTGCTATCAGTTACCGCTGGAGAGGCTGCGTCCAGAACTGTCGCTCGATTTGGAGCACAGGTGTGGACACCGACCATGAACGTGTATGTGCTGACATTCGGATGCGTTTTGGCGGACGCCCGCGACGATGTTGTGAGCGCATTGACACCAGCCAACTGGCGAAGCCAGCTGTTCTGAATGCGTATCCAAGTAAGCTGTCATGCGAGTTGGATAAACGCTCACTGGATGCAATTGAAGGTCACTGGTCCCGTATTCACCAGACCTTACTAGCAGCAGGAAAATCCTCATGTGGTGTGTCTATTCGCCAACATGGACATTGGGTTTCTTCAGAGTCTCTGGAACTTATAGATGCTCGCCGGCATATTCCGGCTGGAAGCGAACACAATGAAACTCGCAAAGAGCTCCGAGCAAAACTCCGTGTTAGCCTGAAGAGAGACCGCGAATCCTGATGGTCTCGTCGTGCAACCCAGATGGAAATGGCCGCCGCCCTTGGTAACCATCGTAAGTTATTCCGTCTGATACGGGAAACGGGCAGCAGGAGACCTGGTGTTAGTGAAACTATACGTAACGAGAGTGGACAGCCTATCCATAACTTATCAAAACGCTTGGAGCGTTTGGTTGAGCACTTTGAAAGGCAATTTAATCGGTCGGAATGGTTAGATTTCTCGCCGACCAGTGATCACCCTGCTCTGTGGGCTGTTCCTTTGGATCCACCCTCTCGTTCAGGAGTCGAACGTGAGATTGGACTGTTGAAGTTAAATAAAGCCGCGGGACAAGATGACCTTCCTCCAGCCCTCTTCAAATTCGGAAGACCTACTCTTGTGGATGATTTACACGAGTTACTAGGGAGACTGTGGGAGAAGGAAACTGTCCCAACCGATTGGAGCCGCTCCATCATAGTCCCAACTTTCAAAGGAGGCTCACGATCGGAATGCGGCATCCATAGAGGGATCAGTCTGATCTCCATCGCCTCCAAATTGCTTGCCTCTAAAATCCTTCACAGACTGTCTGGCACGCGTGAAAGCCAGATTCGTGAAGCGCAAGCCGGGTTTCGTCGAAGTCGTGGCTGCATTGACCACATCTTCACCTTGCGTCACTTGTTGGAGCACCGCCACATATATTGGCGGCCCATCGTAGTCGTGTTCCTCGATATCAAAGGTGCAGGCTCCGATGGCTCGGCCACGTGTTACGCATGCCCGCTTACCGACTTCCGCGACGTGTGTTGTTTGCGCGCCGGGGATGTGGATGGAAGAAGAGGAGGGGTGACCAAGCGGTGACTTACTCGAGAGGAATGAAGGCCCTCACTTCTGAGCTGGCCTCGGTTGGAGCGTCTCGGCTCCCTGGTTGGGTCCGAAAGACGATGAACACGTTTGGTTGGACACACTTGCTGATATGGCTAGGAGCCGACCTCAGTGGCGTTCGTGCTGTGAGTTTCTTTGTCCCACCCCATCCCTCTTAGCCTCCCCCTCCAATCACTATCTCATTATTTAGCTTTATATAATCTTGCATAATATTTTTGCTTTTTGGGTGCACAGCAGCCGGCTGGTAGCTTACCGGAACGATGCCCATCCGTTACCGGTAGCTCAGCCAGCTTGCACCAGTTGTTTTTTTCTCTCCTTTTTTTCTCTTTGTATTGCGGCACAGTAGCTGAGGTGTTCCCTACCTCTAGCTAACGTGTATGATGGTGTTGCTGCCTAACCTTCACCAAATCCGAATGTGATATGATAGAGAAGGTTCAACGGCGTGGATCCAAATCCGTCCCTGAGTTGCGAGACCTGTCCTATCCACACCGACTTCAACGACTGAACTTGTTCTCTCTAGGCTACCTCCGTCACCGAGGAGATTTGATATCTACTAGACGTATTCTCAGAGGAGAACTGGGTTGCGAGTTACAGGACTTCTTTCAATTCAACACTGAAAGTTCGACACCAAACCACCGCATGAAAATGTTCAAACCGAGGTATCTCCGTGCGCGGCTAAATTTGACCCTATCAACTCGCGTGGTAACTGATTGGAACCGGTTGCCGGATCCACTGGTTGATGCTGAGACAGAGGAACGTTTCAAATAACTGTTAGCTTCTCACCTGAGCGCGCTGGGATTCTGGTCAAAGCGTCTTTGGCGCTTACTGGTAATTTTTCCAGTTTTGCCCAGTTTAACCCCGTTTTGCACCCAGTTTTTGACTTTTTATAGGTCGTTTAACTGTTGCATACGCGTTATAATCACTCCGTTTTCCATTATGTCGGTCTCGCAGTGCACCGAGGCTGTTGTTCCTGATGGCTCGGATTCTGAGGTTATCGCACTTTGTGGTTGCCCAAGCTGCAATATACCAGTAACTGACGATTCCGGTGGTATGCAATGCGATGTCTGCAACAGATGGTACCATCAGCTTTGTACGGAGCTAAATACCTAGCAGTACGCAGCGCTGGCCTCTAGCGAAAAGTCGCTTTTCAGTTGTGCCAATTGTGACAGCCGCCGCCAAGGCCGCACGGCCTTTCGTACGAGAGACGAATCTCTTGATACCCGGCTGCGAAATGTAGAGCGTTCGTTCTCGATGCTCTCTGATCTTCGTTTAAAGATTGATCTGCTTATGACGACGCTTCCGGTCTCCAACAAGGCAGATTTGATCGCTTACACTGATGATCAACTTGTGGCACCTATCATTATGTCACCGGTCCAGATGGCTACCGACCACCAAAATGAAGCAGCTTCGGACGTCGTATCTAAATCTACCCTGATCGACGCCGAATTGCTGGTTCAAGGGTCACTTCGAGTTAAGCGAAGAAGAGCCAGGAAACCTCGTAAGCTCTCTGCTAAACAAGAAGTTGTTGTCTCGGCACCGGAAACGAGCCAAGTGTCGTTACTTGGCAAACCGTCTGACGGTTGTGCGAAGGCGAAGATCACAACACGCACTACTTGTCAGCCGAAGTTGCCGGAAATCTTGGTTCTCACCGAGAAGACATATTCTGAAGGTGTG